CAGCAATCAGTGGTAAATCATGCTCTCATTTTTGAAGTGTAAAATAGCCAAGTGTCAATCCAACAATCATTGGTTGCTCTAATTTCTTGTAAACTTTTTACTGTTCATCAAATTTCATCATCTTGTTGTTGCAGTAGTTATATTTAGCTCAGTTGCTAATATCCATGTGATGAGAATAGATGGAATTGTTCATTAGGCTCAAAAGAGGAATCTAATGCAGCGATGTCCAGTAAGATTGTTTGATTTGATGTAGGGGTGTCAAATAGGCAAGTTGGGCTGAATTTGGGCAGGTCTAAATAGACCGAGTTAATAAATGGGCCGGTTAGTAATGTGCAAAGGTTGCTTGAGCTGAGGTAGACTGGGTCTAGGTTATAAACAATGGCTCATTGTTCAACCGCCCAACTTTTTCTCGGTTTTAATTTCTTTTATGGTTTTCTTATAATTTGTTTGATTACCAGACAAAACTATTTTTTTTATTTCTTTTGTATTATACCTATATATAACATGTTAAACAAAACAAAAAATTCTTTAAATATTTGACAAGGTTTTTCATAGGTCAATTTGAGTTGCATGCTTGCTTTGCTCAAATCAGCCCAACTTTAAATGGGTTGGTTTGGGTGGGTCAATATGGACTCAATCAGTAAACAGGCGGCCAACCAAACTTGGGCAGTTTATAGGCTGTCATATTTTCATGGACTATTTTGTCACCCCTAATGTTCTGATGCAGCATACTATGGTCCTCCAGAACTGAGTTTATTTAACATTTGAAGCTTCTTTCTATTTTCAATTTCAATTTGTTTGTGGAAGTGTTAGTCTAGTAGTATAGAGGTTTAAAAGTACTGGTATAAGTCAAGTGTATATGTAAGAGCAGTCCAGTGCACAAAGCATCCCTGTTAACAGGGTGAAGGTCCGCATCCCAAGAGGTGTGATGTAGACAGTCTACACTAATCCTTGCATTAGTGATTGTTTCCATGGCTTGAACCCATGACCTATAGGGCACCCATACAATTGTACCGTAGCTCCAAGGTTCCCCTTCATCAGGTGTATATGTGGTTCTCGTAATATCTGTGAGTCTCCAGATATCTCTGTTGGGGCCTTATTCTATTGGAGTCGTGTGTTTCTAATTAAGAATTTCTTTCTTGGAGTTGTCTGATTTCCTGGAAGCCTAGGATGTATGGTTAAGAACTAGATTTTTTTGGTTCTCAACACCAGTATTCTTGTATCTATGAATAGACCTTGAGGCTCCCCTTGATTAAAAAAAAAATAAACCTTGAAGGCCCAACTATTATGTAATTCTTTTGGACAAATAAACTCCAGAAGAATAAGCCCCAGAGCTGCTTTGTTTAATTCTTGGAAATGCGAAATGTTAGATTTAGTCTATAATTTGACATAGGAAAACCCCACACTTATCCAATATCAATAAATGGAGACAAGTATCTAGTAGAGGCCGCACCAGTAAGGTTCCTGCTTATGCCTCCATAGAATCAAGCTTATCTCTGATTTGGAATGTGCTAGTGACAGTCCGAGTTACAGCTCATAGCTAAGGTTTATCAGATGATTGATATTGCGTCTTTTCAAAACAATCTTCCCGTAGATATTAAGCTGTTGAGCAACTTCTTATCAATATCGCACTCTATAGTAATTATCACACTTACGGTATTAACAAATCATATCCATTTGGTCAATCGTAGATCAAATTTCACCATGTAAATCTGTTGCATAAATATTCCAACGGAAGATAGGCTTTGTTTGGTGGTGTTACATTTAACTTTATGGTTTGATGGAAGGGAAAATATTGGTATGAACTACTGAAAAATTAGAAGTTCTTTTCTTATCAACTTTGAATTGTGAAATAGTATTAATGCTGCATTGCTTTTTGCCCATTCCCCTATATTTCTATACAACATATTCTAACATTTTTTGTTTTCTAATTAGGTTGATTTGTGCGATGATGATGATTTTATTGTCCTAGCTTGTGATGGTGTATGGTATGCTTTCTAGACTCTTCGTTTCAATTTGCTAGATCTGATAGGCAATAAGACTACAACAAAGAAGAATGCATATAGGCAGTAAATTGCAGGTCATTTCAAATTGGAACTAAAACCCAATATTGAAGTTGGGGAGAATTAGTGGACAATGAAGTGGGGGAGAATCATGAGGTCTCAGGTCAAATACCAGAGGAGGGAAAGGAAAAAGTCACTAGGTGATTTCTTCCCATCTACTTGAGCCTTGGTGGGTTACCCGGTATCCAAACTTGATGGAAGATAGAAGGTATCCATTGAGGTGTACGCAAGCTGGTCCGGACACCATATTATAAAAAAAATAATTAATTACATAAAATACTTAAAAAGTAATGTTAGTATCAGTTTATCGTAAAAAAGAATTGAAGTATCAATAAGACAACAATCAATTTTTTTAATGAGTAGATGACTCGTTTATTACTTTATTTATTTTTGCCATGAGGTGTCTTGTTCTCCGTATTTCTCTTCTTGATAAAGGTGAGCAAGAAGTAATCCGTTTTGAGGAAAAGGTAGCATTTTTAGAACATGTTATTGATGGGTAAATGAGATTGTAAAAATTAAACAGTTTTTAGATATGGAAAGATATCATTCTTTTTGGCAAGTAAAAAAAGGAAAAGAGTCGTACAAATTGTGACATGTAAGTATTTTGCTTGCTGATTTCATGTTTTCTTTTTAAATTTGAAATTTCGGTTGCACATCTTTTTATATTTTTTGTTTTTTTTTTCATTTTTACCATGTTTTCAATCCTTTCTTGTTCTAACAGCTTTTCCATTTTCCCATCATTCTTAAAATATCTTCACGGGATCTTTTGCATTCCTCTTTTTCTCGTTGTTCTTGAATATTTAGGTCGTATATTTTCTTTTTGTTGTAATTTCTATCTTTTTCGTATTTCCCCCATTTATGTTCTTTGTTGAAGTTTCTTCCTTCCCATGTTTCCTTGGGATTTGAAATTTAACATTTGGGGTTGGAGGATAAACTCATTTTTTGTGGTATTCTATTACTAAAAAAATTATTCCGATGTTAAAGCAAGTATTGCATTGGATTAGATAGAATTATTGACTAGTTCATTCTCAAAAAAAAAGATAGAATTATTGACTAGTTATCCTGTGCGGGACACTGAGCACCACGCTGTGTACAAGCATTTGACATTTGAGCTATAATTACCTCATTACAATCTATTCTAGAGAGTAGACTGACTTAATCCCTCCAGATGTTTTTAGAGGGCGAAATTAAGGCTTGCCTAGTGCTAGCTTTTGAAGACAGAAGCAATTCTTTACATACTATTAAGATGAACAGTATTCTTTTGTTTCATTTCTGGTGTAAAGAAAGCTTTGTAGAGGAGGCAGAATCTGTGGTAGACTTGCTAGGCTCTCTGTAATCTTTGGGAGGATAGCTGGATTTCTGTTTCCCATAAATATGGCTTGGCACCATTTTAGTGCTACTTTTGTTCATATTAATATATACATGCTACCTTCCTCAAAAAAGTGTACACCTGAAACTTACAATACTCATTCTTGGTTCTCATTTTTCAGTTGTTCCTGTGGTTTTTCTTCTTCTAAGCTCTCTATTCTATTGTCGGAATAATCCGATTATCACGTGTCTTTTTCTGTTTTGCAGGGACTGCATGTCGAGCCAGCAGTTAGTGGACTTTATACATGAGCAGCTCAAGTCGGTTAGTCTGATAGATGATGCTTTGTACCATTAAGATTAATTATTGCTTAAGTACAAAATTCAAATATGTTTTTTTAGCCATAGCATTGAGTTCTTTATGCTACGTGATAAGATTCATCATGTTCACTGTATGGGTGTGCCAAAAGCCAAAGATTATATATAGCCACTAAAAGTGAAACCTGCGGAAAAGCTAGTTGAGGAAGTGCATTGCCCATAGAAAAGATTTTGCTGATCTGTTTCTTTCAAAACAAATAGTTCTTTTGTCCATGCATTCTTGCCATATTTTGGAATGTACCTATTTGCCACAAATGAAACTTTGCTACGAGAAGAGGTATAAGGCTGAAGGGGAACATGTTTACTTGTGCAGTATCTTTGATTGTCTAGTTGACTTGGACGTCTTTGTCCTGATACATTCTGCTACTGGCTCCATTTAATGCTGTGGCCGACCTCTGTTTTAGATATCTTTATTTGTTCTTAGTTTTTGTTCATTTTAGCCAGTGCAGGGGGTTGGGTAGATGTGATTCTTTGATGGGTATCGGGGAGTGGTAAATTTTGATTCTTTGCTCAGAGGTTGCATAGATATCATGCAGCAATAGAATGTTGTTATATCACTGAAGATATACTGATTGACCTAGGAGGTTTTTGACTCTTGTAGGAAAGCAAACTTTCTGCAGTATGTGAGAGAGTTCTTGATAGGTGTTTGGCACCGACAGCTGGAGGTGAAGGATGCGACAACATGACCATGATTTTAGTACAAATCAAAAAACCTGTTCCCTCTGGGGCTTCTCCTAGTGACGAACCATTAGCTTCTCCAGGTGATGAGCCGTCAGCTTCGAGTGAGAAACTCCCTGCTTCAGATGATGTAATTACTGAAACAAAACCAGCAGAGTGTGGATCAAGTTCATAGTCACAGACATCCCTCTTATTTAATAAGAGTCTCATCTGCAGTTGTAAATGATTGTTTTTGAGCTACAAGGATAAAATGTTATAGCTTTCACTGTTGCTGGTTGTATATGTTGTTTTGTGTTGTACTATATACCTCTTTGGATGACTTGTATAGATGACTTGACCAGATGTTCTTGACATGAAAAGTAAAACCAAATTACTTTTTTATCCAAATTGATTTTTCTTTTCACAAACTACACAATCCCCTTGATACTTCTGCAATTACATTCTTTTCTCTAATTGTATGTGAACATTTTTTTGTGACAATTATCAAGTGGAAACGTTATCTGGAAATAAGAGGGAGGGGAAGGAACGGGTAAAATTTATAAATGACCACTTTCAGACTCTATCATGGAGTTTCACTTGTAGAAATTGGAATTCCGTGACATTTAATAGTTTCAAAGATGGGATCGAAAAATGGTCGATGAACGTTATTTCTACATAAAAGAGATGGGAAGAGGTGAGATTTCAACCCTGTCTAACTGGGATATATGAAAAAAGAATGACTATTTCTAAGTTCACAACACTATTTTCTTGTGATATATAATGAGCTATAAGTAATGCAACACTCAAATACATAACCAATTGAAGATTATCGTCCTACTAGAGGTTGCTCGAAGCCATGACTGGAGATTAACGATGGTAGATCAGTTACAAATCCTGGACTTCCAATTTTGTTTTGATTTCTAAGTATCAGTAATTCTGGTTTGTTTTCTTCATCTTCTCCGTTGGTCCCGGTAGGGTCCTTCCTCTTCCTGGTCCTTCAACAAGCCTAGGAAAGCAAGAAACCCGAAAAAGAAGAGCCCACCTTTCCAATGGCCTCCACCACCCCCACCTCCACCTCCGCCTCCATCATCATCACGAGGGGGAAATCCAGTCCCACCATCATCCAGGTCAGGGGATTTCTCCTTTCCTGCATTCACCCCCGACATAACAGCATTCAAATGATACTTCCTACTGGATCTTTATAAAGTGCAAAAGTAGTTGTTAACTTTTTAGCATAATACATAGACATGACCTTTAACTTGGCTTCAGCTAACAACTATGACCTTTTAACTTTTGGTGTGCACAAGTAGACGCTTAAACTTGTATAAATTGAACAAATAGACACATTCATCCTACATGGAACCCTACATGACAATTTTGTGTTTTGTGTGGCGTCCTACGTGTATTATGCAACGTAGGACACGTGTGTCTACTTGTTCAATTTTATACAGTTTAAGTGACTATTTGTGCACTCCCAAAATTGGAAGGCATAGTTGTCAGCTGAAGCCAAGTTAAAGGTCATGTTTATGTACTATACCAAACTTTTTGTTGATAAACCTTAGTGAAAATCATTGGTTAAGTAGAGCTAAAACTAATTCTATGATCTTTTTACAGCAGCTGGACGGAGTGTAGTGAAAACAACAAAGTTGCAAAATACATATTGTTTTATTTCCATTCATAGGTATACCGGTTACTACTAAGAGCATGAAAAGATTACCTTGAACTGGTGCAACTGTAATGGTTGATGATTCTCGTGTAACTGTCTGTGTCTGGCCTTCAGCACATCTTGCATTCTGCATTGATGCAAGAACAAAAGGTCAAACGGAAATGCTTATAGTAATATAGTTTACTTGAATGATACAGGAAATGGAAAGCCAAATGGTGAATGTGGGTAGTAGTAGTAGTAACAGCATCAAGAACAGCGATATACATATTCATCAGTTGCTTTTTCAGATTGTCTTGCCTGTAATTTGAAATGCTACCACTTACAAGTACTCCCTTCATTTCAATTTGTTCGTCTAATTTTTGGGTACTTTCTACGTATCTTTACTTTTAAGACCACAAGATTCAAAAGTCTTTTTTATTTTCTTAAACTCCTGTACCAAGTTGAAACGGACAGAGTAATAAATGAAACATATATCTCCACAAGTCCACATGTTACCTTCTCAAAGAAAATGTATCTCCATATGTTACATACCCATATCTATAAACAATAACTAGCAAATAGAGAAGCTGATAAAGATTTTAGGGTACTTGTTCTAGTAAATACAGTTGATTTTCACTATGCTGACTGCAGAACCCACTTGGCATGCGGAACTGCATATAGCGAGACAGAGTCTAATCTGATAACTTATGCCATAAACAGCTACTTGCAGTAGCATTCTGAAGCTCCAAAGCTTCTCACAGTAAAAGTAGTACAAAATTAATATAAAAGACATGACAAGTACAGATTGACCCACTAGAATCGCTGGAGGCATGTAATTAGGTAAACAAGGCACTGGGAACAATTATACGAAAAAGCATCGAAGAGACTGATACCAGAGCAGCAGCACATATTATTGAAGCACGCCTTTCTTGAACAGGGCATCTCAAGCTTCTTCTATTGTTATTGAGTTGTAACTGCATTCCAACCCGTTGGAGGCAAGCTGGAACTGATACTATTGGCTTGAATTGCTTCCGGCATTGATCCCCTGCTCTCACTGTGATAACAATATTCAATGATTAACAAATGAGATAGCATGACTTACAGGATGAGCAGCAAATCTTCAAAAGGATTTTGCCAACATTGAATTTTAAAGTATCGAATGTCTTGATGACATTGTTGTCACACCTTAAATGTAAGCGGTCAATTAGATTATCAAGAAAATGTAATGTTCAATTACATTTATTCAAAACCTAAACACGATCACATCAAGTTTAATAGAAAATCAAAGAGTACTTTTTTCATTAATTTTAAATCTAATGAGTCAAAATAACAAAATTCAATCAAGCTGGATGATAGATCATAAACCAAAATTTCACTTCAACTGATTTGCAGTATTAAGTTATTATATATTTGACATGAACCTAGACGGAGCGACATGGGTAATGGTGAGGATTCATATATCCGGACCCCAACTTGCTTGAGATTAAGCAATGTAATTGTTGTTGTCGTGACTCGTGAGTATTATATATTTGGCTGTGAGTGGGTGAGTGCCAATTGATGTTTTCATGTACAGAGTTACAGACAAAGAAAGAGCTAAACAGTCTAATAGTATAAGCAGAAAAGCAACTATAATATTACAAAGGATCATTACTTAATGCGACTGTCTTAACTCCTACAGCACTTAACAGCAATTGCTATTCAGATATTCTTGCATCTATGTGGCAAAGGCTTCTCAATGAGCTAACAGCAAGAGATGCTGATCTATTAACATTAAACAGGATCAACGATATGCCCGGTTTCACCATGTGATCCTAGTGACATGCCAAAAAGCAATTCTGACATCCTTTCAGAAGAGATGCGGAGGTACCAATTAAAAAGAACCGATCGGGAGCATACAGCCACGTACCTATTGGCAAAGTAGTTACACTCATGGTGGTACTGGCAGTTAACGACATCTTTTTGCAAGAATTCTGAGTCTCCCTGAAATTGCACTCGTATAGAATCCTGAAATCCGAAAGGAAGAGTAGATTCAATATGCAAATGTATTATATTTCTTTGTCATGGAAATGGAAAACCTTTCTCGCCTTTGGCGCACTTTAAGTGTTAGTCCCAACGGAAGGATGGTAGTGTCCACTACCAGACTATAACTTCATTCAATTATTTGAGTCATGAGTGTTTGATAATTAGTGAAGCTTGTACATATACAGAAAATCAGCCAATATTTTTTCCATATAACTGCTATTCCAGAAAAAGTCCAGTTAATGATCAGTGAAACAACTAAATTTTTTCTTTACCAATTTTCACATTTTCTTTCCAAAGTTAATAAAAAGACCACAAAATTAAGGAATGAACATAGAGGGCCAACTCCATCTCAACTGCCCACAGCAAACAACATTTTTCTCACATTTTCCTTTCTCTATCCATCCCGCTATCTTAATAAGACAATACAAAGTTCAACTTGGGCACTACGAGAAAGTAGATGCGACAGAATTAGATGCATATGAGGGGAAAGCTAGCAAACAACCACGACGGAACCTAAATTCTGAACTTTGTACAGAGACAAATCAGATTCTAATTTAAAGTCTGAGACAAGGAGAGATGTGCATTAGCGGGTTCCATAGCTCCTAGCCTCCAACTCTGGAGGAAATAGTTATGCATTCCAAAATCATGTATCTTCAAAGATATTACTAGTAAAGTCAAACCAAAATAACAAACTTCATTACAAATATTATGTTACAATCTTATAAAATTGTAAAGACAACCATATCTTAGATCAGATATCCCGTGTATTCTGTAGCATAACTAAACAGAAACCACCCAAGTATACCGTCTTGAGACGAGGCTCATAATGGCTCCTCCTTTGGAACATAGGGTGTACTACGTTAACTATTTTAGACGTTAGCGGCTTACCCAGGATTTTTCACTGTCTAAAGTTCAGCTTGTAAGTAGTTTGGGTCTAAGATTCTGTTGGTTTTAAGATCTTACTTCCTGTTTCAAATTGATATTTACTTTGTATTATTTTCAAGCAGTGACAGCTTATCTTATATATACATGATGTTACAAAAAATATATTTACACACACATATAAGAAAAATGTTCTGTGATCCTGTGTCAGATGACACCCCACTTTCTGAAGAGTGTCTCCGCCACTGCTAGATGCAAGACAGGGCAACCAGCACTTGTTTTGTGATATTCCCAAATAGATAGATGCCTCTAGTTTAAGCTTCAGTTACATAACTTTTCATCTTCCTTGACATACCCATGTGTAAAGGTCTTACACGGGAGGGGGTGGGCGCATACTTCCAGCAGATTCTCCAAAATGTAGTAAAAATATGCTAAAATTGAATGTACCAGCTAAACCCCCTATTGATACAAAGTCTACTACTGCTAAAAATCAGGAATTAGTAACAGACAAATTCTATAGCTAAACAGCATAATCCTTCACTAATCTTTCAGAAATTCAGTTAGCAACGAGCAATGATGAATTTTTTTTTTTTTTTTTTTTTGTAGTGTTCCAAACTACATGTAAAATAGGTTTAGCACCCATAGTATGTCAAGAACAAACTCCATCATCTACCATAGAACACTCCTTGTATAACAGAACAAGGCAAATGGCTTTTACATGACAACAAAAGGGTGTTCAAATTACACAATCATCATCAATGGCATAGGCACTGGCACAATCCATTTCCTCCAAGAAACTATAAGCTACATCATGCTACAGCCTAAAAAACACAACTTTAATAATCCCTCCATTTCAATTTGTATATCTTACTTTCCCTTTTAGTTCATTTCATAAACAAACATAACTTTCATTTCTTTCACAATTCTTTAATCTCAACTTTCCACGTGACATATTTAAGATCACCGTATCAAACAACATTTTGGTATATTCAATATATTTTTAGTATAAAACATCAAGATTCAATAGTCATTCATTACTTTCTTAAACTTTGTGTCCGGTCAAAAACAGACATATAAATTGAATGCATATCAATACCATTAAAACCCACAAAGAATTCATCAATATCAATGGAAATATCCAACCTTTTTCACAAAAACAAAGTAAACCCAAACGATAATTCCACAAGAAGAGCAAAATACAAACCCCCACAAAAGAAAAATGGGAAAAATAAATAAAAATGAGTAAAAGCACGAACCTTTTTTTTTCAGATACCCAATATATTGAAGAAGAATGATAGGAAGAACGGAAAATCCCTAGTTTTTTCGTTGGGTTTCTGCAAAATTGGAGGAAGAACAAGAAGAAAGAAAAGCTTTAAAACTTGTTGATTTTATTTTTTTTGGTTTTCCCAGCGGTGTTCAGTCTATATTGAAGCTCCGATTAAATTTAAATCACGTTTTATAAAACTCATTTGAAGGGATGGCGCACCCGACAAAATTTTCTCTAAAATATTAGAAATGACTTAAAAATAACATAGAACATACTTTTTACTAATTTTAAAAGTATAGTCTATATTTTATTTATGTTAAGGTATGTCACATTCAAATCGTCGACTGATATATTGTTCCCTCCGTGGGTGAACCAAACCTTAACAATTAACACATAATATTTAAATTACTAGACATTTAAGAAGCATAACATAGTGAGTAAGGGTCTCAAAATAAAATAAATAAAATGAAGCAAAAATCTACACTATGTACCCTAGAAATCGAAAGTGATCATACGAGAACTCTAGCTAAAAACTGTCTAAGAGTAGAAAAATAAAATAAAATGCATCAATGTTTAGAAGAAAGACATCTATCATCAGAAAAGTTGCATAAATGTTTATGGATCGTAGTTTACACTCAAAAGAAAGTCAAGTTCAAAACTCAGCGAAAACAAAAAGATACCAGGTGATTATTTTTATCTGTCCTAACCTTGGTATTCTTTGAACAATTAAGGTACAAGACAATACAATAAGCATCAACACTCTACAAATCACATAAAATCATATTCATTTTGTTTTATTTTTTATAGTTATACAACACCTGGATCTAAAATATACCATGTATTTTTATGGTATAAACATAATTTATAGAAAGACCAAATTATTGTTATATAGTATAAATTAGGATAAATATTCATGATATAAATTATTATAATATAAACTATTTATATCTAAAATATACCATATATTTTTATAATATAAAATTATAAATAATTGATGGAAACACTAGTAAACAAAAAGAAAAAGAAAAAAAGGCTAAGTTGGTTAGGGCCCCAAAAATAAGCCCATTAGTGAGGGCCCAATACTAAACCCAAGTTCACCTAATTTATATATAACCCGAAACATTTTATTTTGAAAAAACCCTAATCGCAAATAGAGGCCAAGTGTATTTGAACACTTCATCATCTTCACGGCCTCCAACCGAAGATGAAGGTTACTCAATAAACCATTATTTTCACCTTAATTGTGTGTTTTTCAGTGTAATAATGGAACTGATGTTATGTTTTGTTATGTATTTTGCAGTTCAACATTGCGAATCCGACCACTGGGTGCCAGAAAAAGCTTGAAATCGACGATGATCAGAAACTGTAAGATAATATAGTGTTTTGTTTTTTAATTTTGCCTACTTTGTGTTATGGAGATGGAATTGATAAGAATTTGTTGTGATTGTATGTTTGTGTTGATGTGAGATCCTTGATAATGAACGAAATTGTTAGTGTAAGTATTAGATCTTAAAAGATAAAACAAATTTATTGTTGGAATGAAATGGACCTAAATTGAGCTGATTTTTTGTAGTTTATTGCTATGATTGTCCCTTACTAGTTTGGAATTGAGTGTAGTACTGTGCTTCAATTGATTGGTTGATTTATGTTATTGTCCAGTGTAATCCTTCAACTGCATTTTGGGATTATAGAGTGTATGCAAACCTTACCATTTCCTCATGGTGTTAGATATGGGTATCAAATCAAACTAGTTTTGAATGAGTAAATACAGCAATGAAGTAATGTTGTCTGCACTATCGGAAAAAAATGTTAAATTCTTATTTACTGTGATTAATGAGAGTTCTGTTTGCTTTTGGGTGTTGGTGGAGCTTACAGTTAAACTGGAAGGAGTAATGTGTGATTTAGAGGATTTAGTGTTATATGACTCTTAGTAATTCTCTTAAAGCCCATGTAAAATTCTGTCTTTTAAGACAAATGTCGAGTATTGGAATGACATGACTTTGGATAGAGTGGATATAGAGGATTCTTAGCCTATCACAACTAGTTTGGGATTGAGCCTTGGTGTATTGGAATGACATGACTCTAGATGGAGCGGAACGAATATAAAGAGGATGCATAGGCAACCATAACTTTGTTAAGGATTGAGGCATAGCGTAGTGATGGTGTTATAGTTATAATTGTTGTACTTAGCTTTATAGCTGAGTGGTGGGTTTATGTAAGCAATCTCTGTGGGTTTTTTTGAGCATGCATGTCCAGTTTAGTTTGTCAACATTGATGTATTCAGAAGATACTTTTGAAATAGAAATATCTAAGCTGAATTCTTTATATGCAGCCGAGCTTTCTTTGACAAAAGGATCTCCCAGGAAGTTAGTGGAGATGCTTTGGGTGAGGTAGGCTTCTGTTCTCCTTACTCTGTGGCTTTTGGTTGGAAATCATGCTATTCTTGTTAACTCTTTCCCATAATTGTTATTTTTAATTGACAGGAGTTCAAGGGTTACGTTTTCAAGATAATGGGAGGATGTGACAAGCAAGGGTTCCCAATGAAGCAGGGAGTGTTAACTCCTGGCCGTGTTCGCCTTTTGCTCTACAGAGGTATGTTTAGAATGAGCCTAATGGGCACACCTAAATGTTTCTTTTCATCAAAAGCTGTTATTTTAAGATCTTTATAAAAAGAAAAGCTGTTATTTATGTATCTAAGTGCTTACACATGAAACAGGTACTCCTTGCTTCCGTGGTCATGGTAGGCGAAATGGAGAGCGCAGAAGGAAGTCTGTCCGTGGATGCATTGTCAGCCCTGATCTATCTGTTTTGAACCTGGTTATTGTTAAAAAGGGGGAGAATGATCTGCCTGGACTCACCGACACCGAAAAGCCAAGGATGAGAGGACCCAAAAGGG